CACACACACACACACATTTTCCTCCCATGTCTTCAGCTCTAAACGGACTCACACTGTGATCTGCTGGCAGTGGAAACAACCAGCTCTCTTTACTCACATATAGTTCCAGTAAGATGGAGCACTCATACTGCAGCTGCTCGGCTATAGCAGCAGCCCGGGCCGCGGTGGACCTGCTCAGATCCGGCCCGGTCATCCGTCTAGTCCGCCTGGCTGCCATTGGACGTCCCAGCTGCCTCTGCTGGGAAGACACACTTGCACTTGGAGCAAGAGCGCAACAGTCCGGCCCCCTAATATACGCCCGTGTGCGCCTGCCTCATCCCGACAGCGCCACGGTTCACGGCTCCCTTCAGCCTGCCCTTCCGCTCCCCTTTACCGAAGCTCTAATTAGAGCCAGTGCGAGGCTCTTATCTTAGGTTTCGGTAAAGAAAACGAGTTTCCCAGTCTGCGCGACCTTTCCTGCTCACTGTTGCGGACTTATGTTACAGAGTTGGTGGCCAACTCTCCGCCCTTTCCCCCGGGAACCTGATGCCAGGCAGGAGGAATTTAACGGGACGAGCGGGGGCGGAGAGAGAGGGGGGGAGGCAGGAGGAGCTTCTTAACTTATTCATGAGGAGCTTATCTGATTTACTGGTAGTGACAGAAGCAAAGATGGTCTAAATTTAAGTGGGGATGTTGCCTGAACATATTCCGTTCGCTTCATGTGTGTGTCCATGAGGAAGTGTACAAAGATCACAGAAAAACCACACGTCTTAGATGTGTTAGATGTGAATTAAACTTACAATATAAAGCAGTTCAAATAAGCTTCACCCACACCAAATGGTGTGTTTATGCTTGTCCCAATAATAATGACCCAATATTATGATATTATTGACAGAGGCCAGTATGATTAAATGACTGTGTTTGATACTGTAACTTACATTAAAGTATTATTTTAAATGTATGACTTTTAGGCTATTTTTAATGGAGTTTTTTATAATGTGGTACTGCTACTGTGATCACATTGACTCGGTTAGCCTTCACATTCTCACCACAACAACCACAGTGTGGTCTGCTGGCCACTGAGCAGCCCCGCTGGAGCAGCTGAGGTAAAGGCCCTTTCTCAAGGGTAATGAGTGAGGGGTAACAAGGGAGGGGTATGGGCTGCTTTTCACTTTCCCCACACAGATTTATCCCGATTTAACCAACGACCTTCAGGTCACAAGCATCTCTAACCAGTAAGTAGAGTACCAACTATTCTGGAGATTTCACCAAAGTATTCTCTTCATCAAAAATAACTGTGTTGATAACTAACTGCATATTATTGACCCTCTCATGGGAGACATTCATAACACAAGAGCAACAGGTGTAACCAATGACATTAATGATTGGTTTGTTCCATTTAGACTGCCAGTAAGCCAACATGAACAATGCCAGAGCCCTGTCACAGGCACACAAACAATGTATGATTTACAGAGTTTATGAATTCCATAATTTAGAACAAAAGACTTAAAACTACCATACAGAGACACTCACAAAGAAAACACATCAAATAATAATGAAATATTCTAATTATCTTGTTTTGGGGAGTGATGTGGTGACAGATATTGTTGCATATTTTACAATACAACTTCATAAACTATTGTTAAAGTGTCATCCAAGTAACTGTATATATATATATATTATATATATGTTATTGAAAAGACCCTGAAACTGAGGTTTTAGAGGGTTTTGCTGTACATGTTGTCATTTGGGGCCATAAATTGACTTGACTTATTCCTCATACAGTAGACTTCTTGAAATACATGTCAATATACTGTCATTTTTCAGAATATGTTATATGATCAGAATGAGAAAATAGATATAAGGACTGCTCACCACTTAAGAAATCAAGGAGTTTACAAAACCATATTCCACAATGCAATACAAAATTAAATATTAGTCAAAGTCAAAGTCAAAGTCAGCTTTATTGTCAATTACTTCACATGCACCAGACATATAAGGTAATCGAGAGGACGTTTCTCACTCTCCCACGATGAAACAGATGCACAGGCAGCAGCAGTACCAACGACAGTATTCCTGACATACTACAAAAAGTAAACATTCAATTTCACAGCAGACAAGACATTTAGTAATGCTAAAAGATAAAAAAAAAGACAATAAATTATAAAATATACAATAATATAAAATATGCAATACTTATGGTGTTCTGTAAGATATATTTGAACATTAACAGTGCAAAAGAACATTCAGTGAAAACAGTAAATAGTAAATAGCACATAGATATAGAGATAGACATATATAAATGACCAAAAACCTCTACTGACAATATATATGCGTGGAAAATGAACTAAATGTTCGTTGCGTGGCCTGCAGGTTGATGGACCGGTAATGATTTGTAGTACCACTCCAATGCTGCAGGTGTCACTGCAGGAGACTGTCACGTAAACACTGAGCAGCGGCTAAATGACAGCAGCTAACGTAGCTGGAAACCTGGATGTTTGTTTTGCAGAGTGAATGGGAATGATGGGACATTTCCCCGCTGTTTTATTTTTGTAACTGTAACTTTAAAAGTTACTATCAGAGTCGAGTTATCCGGAGCAGTAACAGCGCTTCAGTCTTGAGCCCCAGGCTAACCAACTAGCTTAGCTTAGCTTAGCTTGAGCTGATCTTGGAGGCATGAACTCTCTGGTTGGTTACGGAGTGTCCTCAGAGTCCGACAGCGAAGGAGAGGTAGAGGATGGGAACAGCGGTGGAGCTGGGTAAATATTAACTTTAACAAAGGAACACAGATCGTAAATAATATTGCGCTAGATTACATAAGCTGTCAACTTCTCTCTCCCCCTCGTTTAACTCGTTTTCTCTCCCTCCCTCTCTCTCTATTTCTCTCTCTCTCCCTTTCTTTCCATCTCCTCTTCTCCTTTCTCTCTTTCGCTTTATCTCCTCTTCCTTTCCCTGCTTTCTCTCTCTCCTTTCTCTCTCTCTCCTTTCTTTCCTCTCTCTCTCTTTAACTCTCCTCTTTCGCTTTTCTCTCCCTTCTCTCTTTTCCTCTCTCTGTCTCTCTTTCTCCTCTCCCTCTCTCTCTCTCCCGCCTCTCTTCCTCTCTCTCTCCCTCCGTTAACTCGTTTCTTCCTCCTCTCTCTCTCTTCTTTCTTTCTTCCATCTCTCTCTCTTGTCTCTCTTCGCTTTCTCTCCCTCTCTTCCCTGCGTATTTCCTTCCTCTCTCTCCTTTTCTTTCCATCTCTTCTTCTTTCCTTCTCCTCATTATCGTTTCCCTCCCTCTCTCTCTCTCACCTCTCTCGTCTTTCCTCTCTTCTGTCTTCTTTCTCCCCCTCTCTCTCTTTCTCTCTCTCTGTCTCTCCCTTTCTCTCTCCCCCCCTCTCTCACAGTTCAGTGGAGGAGGTGGGGGATGAGGCTCCAGCTGTCAAAAGGACCCGCAACTTCTTGCTGGAGCCTGATTCAGGTTGCAGTGAGTCAGACAGTGAATCAGAGGAAGAGGACCCAGAGCCCTCTTCTTCATCACCACATCCCCAATCATCTTCTGCAGGCTGCCAGCCCCCCCTGGGCTCCTTCGCCCCCAATAAACTACCTCCTCCCACTCTAAATACCTGCTCAGACAGCAGTGTGTTTGCCAATCCCTTCAAGGCTCAGGCAGATCAGAAGCTCAGCGCCTTGCAGAAACACGTCCCTCTCACAATGCAGGCCAAACCCTCCCAGATAGGAGGTAAAAGGATGTGTGTGTCCTACAGGAAGGACGGAAGGTGCAGGTTTGGGATCAAATGCAAGTTTGCTCATGACAGTGACCTGCAGACCCCCGCCACTCACGCTGACTGTTACCCGCCTGTGAGCGAAGACTCGCCAGCGTCAGATCCAGCTGAGGCCCCCGCAGGTGGAGGATCCCAGAGTCTCCGGCAGGAGACGAAAGAGGAAGAGTCAGGAGGGCAGCAAGTGAAGAAGAGGAAGGTTGGACTGAGTAACACCTTAATTCCTCCTAAACGAGCTATGAAGCAGTACGCCATGCATAGAGACAGAGAGAGGATCGATATGTCCTGATGGACGAGCCGTTACACTGCGCTGTCATGAAGCAATACTAGTGGAATTAAATGTGTTGGAGGAATTGTGTGGTGACCGTTGTACGATCAATGAATGACTCAGGCATACAGTTACATTACATACATACATCTTTAGTCCAAAGCAACCTACATTTTTATTTTCCATAAATCCTAATTCCTGCTCAAGAACATGTGAACAGAAGGAGCTGGGGATTGAACCAACAACCTTACTATTAATGACCCCTCTACTAACTTAAAGAAAGAGAAGATGTTCTCAAACCGTCAGTGAATACACTTGGTATAAATGTTAAGACATTTATTTACATAATATATAAATGAACATTTTTTTTGTGTGTTTGCTCTACTACACATCCTATAACACAGTTCAGAGAGGTGCAGATTCAGTATCGACATGTGTTCCAAGGTTTCTACATAGTTTTGCTTGTTAAATTACATTACACTTCAACGGTTATTGACAGAATTTGGGTTTAACTAATTGAGTGACTGTGCTGTACTGTTATTTTATAAGTTCATATGTGATGATTTAAGACGTCCACGGTCACCTCTTGGCTGCTTGTAATGACCAAGGACTTTTGTGAGAAGTACATACATAATACGGGTTATTGTTCCTTCAAAGTCTACAAACAACCAAGCTTAAACATTTGCACAGCTGTCATTGAAACAGGTTTAATGACTCTGCCAAAAATCGCTAAAATATGCATATTTTGTGACTTTTTACAGGCTGTTTTGTCTACGTCTTTCCAGGTTTTGAAATGTTTCTCTTTGTGACTTTAGATCATTTTCTGTTATATATTTTTAGCCTTGCCTAATATAAGCTTTACAGTAGATCTGGACAATAAATGAAAAACAAAAAAAATAGCTGCCTATTCATTTAAACAGACTTTACTCACCCCACACACGTTGGGGTCCGTTTACAGCTTTCTAATGTGTGTTTTCTGTTAATTCATAATATAAATAGAATTGATTTATTCCCTAATAGGAACCTTGATGCCACACACTAGGCATTTAATGTGCTGTATATTACTAAGAGGTATGCTTATATTATTGCATAATAGCAACAGCTTTGCAACATAACCTCATTAATACACACACACACACACAAACTCACACACACATAAAAGGCTAGTTGAGTTTACAGGACTGTTATGTACAAAGGCAACAACTTACACGTACAGACACATATTTTTCCCTGATACAGATATTCTAAAAAGCTACCAAATATGACTATGAGTGAACAGTACAGAATATATCGGTGACCCTACATTTACCTCAAACATTGCAATACAGTATATCAGGTTACTGATGGCATAATCTGCCCCCGTCTTCTGTTGTGTGTGTGCGTTCCTTGTTCTACATGAGGGCCTGCTGCACGTGTCTCTCAGAGTTGTCCGACAGAACTCCCCCGTGTCCCGTCTGCTCCCAGACCACACCGTCCTCCCCCACAGTTTCTGTATGCTGAAGGGAGCTGACAGACTGAGAGGAAGACGAGAGCACCGGACTGTCCAGGATAAAGCTGTCCCCGTTTGTGGAGGTTGGATTCTGCGAGTGGGGATGGGATGAGGACAGGAGAGGAGGACTCGGGGCGGCTGTCTGCAGGGTCTGAAGCTGATGAGAAGTCGCTAGAATGGGGATCTGCTGAATGTGGGTCTGAGACTGGCTGACAGGCTGGAAGGTCATTTGAAGGATTTGTGTCTGCCCCTGGTTCTGCTGCTGCTGCTGGGAGGAATACGACTGAAGGGACTGGATCTGGGGTTGATGCTGGGTCACCACTGAGCTGGAATGGAGGGTCAGTTGTTGGATCTGGGGCTGCTGGGGCTGCTGAGCGGCCTGCACAAACTGGACGGGCATCTGGAGCTGGAGGTGAGTCTGCTGCTGGTTGTCAGCGGGCGAAGGGGGGTCGATGGGGGACAGGGCAATCGTCACTGGCACCTGCATGGTATGGAGGCTTTGGTCTTGTCCCAGTAATACCACCTGATGACTTACTTGTTGGGTCACATGACCCATCTGAGACACCTGAGCCACTTGCTGTCCAACTTGCCCTTCCTGGCTCACCTGGTCCACCTGCCCATCCTGCCCTATTTGGCTCACGTCTAGGCTGGTGACCTCTGCTTGCATGGGGTTTCCTGGCAGCTCCAGAAGGGAGGCGGGGGTTGTGATGAGGGCGCCAGCGTTGGCTGCCAGCGCCTCAGCAATTAGCACCTCAGGGTGACTCTTGGCCTTGTGGGCCACCACACAGTCCTTCTTCTCAAACTTCTTGCCACAAATGGAGCAGGAGAACTGATAGGTGGCATCAGCATCGTGCTTCTTCATGTGCCAGTTGAGAGACGCCTTCTGGCGACACGTGAAACCACAGATTTCACATCTAAGGAGAAGAAATAATTTAGGAGAAATGAATAAATATCTGAATGAAGAGAAAAAATTATCCACAATTGTAAACATGGAAGTACTAACTGTAGGGGCTTCTCTCCGGTGTGAATCATGCGGTGCACAGCCAGGTTGTGGGAGCTCTTGAAGGCACGAGCACAGAACTCACAGATGTAGTCCCTCTGGTCTATAATCACACCACACTCAAATATAGATGTGTTCTCCATATACTTTCATTATTAAATGATTAATTACAACAAGAAAAGGTCAGACACAGATTGAACCCAATCCATGATTTATATCTACGCCGTATGCATACCTGTGTGGTGCTTCGCATGACGCAGAAGCTGCTTCTGTAGGCGGAAAAGCCTCCCACATGACGGATGAGGACAAACATACTTCTTCTTGAGCAAGTGCTGGTACTTTATATGGTGCTGTGTGCGCGACACAAAGAAAATGCAGAACAGTATATCAGCATCAGTTGGTCATTGTAAAGGTTAATGTTTAAATCTATTGTGTGTGTGAAAAGATCAATAGATTTATTACCAGCCTTGATAATGTGGTCAAATTATAAAAACTATTTTATAAATCTATTTATCTGTATCTGAACAGACTCCATTTTCCCCTTCAGAACTGTGCTGATAGCAAACACCTTGGATCTAAATTCACTTCCCCTCAACTACAAGTATTGACAAAATCCACATACAGTGCTGAAACAATTATTTAATGAATTCATTAACAGAAATGTAATCAAGCAATTTCAAGATGCCACCTGTGACAATGAAAAATGTGACAGACATCTTCCACCATTTCTGACATTGTATAGATTACACAATGAATTGCTTCATTAGGGAAAACAAAATCTACATTAATAAATAAATACAAATGATTTAAAAAGCAGTCATAACCTCTTTATAATGCATATAGAATAAACTCCCAATCACTAAATTTCAACTGCATTAGCTCAGCGTGATACATGTCAATAACCAGTAGGGTCGAGCGGTGGCTGGGACAGACCTGTAGGTAGCGCGGATGAGCCAGGACCGTCCCACATCCTTCCATTTCACAGCGCACATACTGCACCGGGGGCTTCTTCCTGTGTGGTCGAAGCATCATGTCATTGCAATGTCACCACACTGAAACCAAACATTAAATGGATCTCGAAGTCCTCATGAATAACCCACATATCATCAGTCGCTACCACATCCTTTATTTCTGACAGGGTGACATTGATGAAACGGTATTATAAAGTTCAGATTACGATGCCCAAAAACAGACATCAACTTCACCTTCTCTTCGGCAGCCGTGGAGTTTTATCGTCCTTTTTCCTCCTTCCTCTCCTGATACGGATGGAAAAAAGAACATTTCAATGGGAGCGTTATTATGTAGTGAATACAAAGCCATTTAAAAAGGAGTTACATTTGGATTTAAGATGGATTAATACACCTACAACTGCCTGGTATTTTATATGCACAGTTAAATTAAAATAATGGTGTTGTGCTTACTTTCTGGGTCCATCCGGGTCCTCCACTGTTTCTTCTTCTAGCTTTACTTCCTCTTCCACGCTCTCTAAGTTGTCCGAACCTTCTATCTTTATCTCAGCAACCTCTTTCTCTTTTTTAGGTGCCTTCTCTTTCTCTTTCTTCTCCTTCTGTCTAGGAGGCACTCTGCGCTTTGGTTTAGGTACATCCCTAAGAAACAAACAAAAAAAAAAAGAGAAATATCCAGTTACTAGACAACAAATATGGTGCCTATTTCTAATCCTGTCAGACACAGACACACGCACACACCTTTCGGCCTTCGGGTCGTAGCTCTGGTCATTAAGGTCATCTCTGAAAGGAACATCTTCATCACTACTGAGGCCCTCTTCCTCCTCTGCTCCACTGAAAAGCAAAACAACAAATCATTTGAAACAGAATTCCCCACGTTCTGCACAGGGTCAAGTGAATGTACTTGAGTTAAGTGTACCTCTGACTCTGCGGCTGGTAGTTGAGGTCGTTTGGGTCGTCCTGAAATTGAGGGTCTTCATCATCCAAGACTGGCTCAGCAACATCCTCGCTTTCCTTCTCTTTCTTTTCACTGAGACAGCATAAGTGTGAAACACAGTGGTCATCGAAACACAGCGCCGCGCTTTCACTTAGTCACATACTTACACAGTGTACAAGTAATACAGTATATTTGTAAATGCCTCACTGGGTCATAAATATATAAAGTTTCATTTATACTAAAACCATATATTATGCCATGTTGTAAAAGAATAAAAAAATATACTTACATTTCATACTTCTCTTTATTGTTTAACTCTCCTTCCACTGCTGCGCGACACACAGAGAAAAATAAGTTAGAGAAAGGCAACAGCAGCATAAAACACACAAAACTATACACTGTCGTCTAATGCATTCTCTCTAAGTGAGTTATTGTAAATAGAAGGCATGTAAAAGGCAGCACTGATCCCATTAGTTACACTGAAAACCCATAATCACAGCCATCCCATATCAATTAAATAAAATGTCACTTAAGGTTTTCTACAGAATAAATAACATCCTGAAGAACAGTAGCGAGCTCGACGCTTCAGTGCTTCTGCGTGAATTATAGGCCCACACGCTGAACCACTGTAGCTCACTGTCAACAGGTTGCTCACCAGCTGGATTCTCCATTCCAGGTTCGGTCTTACACACAGGCTTGGCAGAGCCGCGGACAGCCCTGCCAGACGGGGGCTTGGCACGAGTCTGGGCTGGGGGGCGTCTGGTGGGAAGAGCTGGAGAGATAGAACAGAAGCATGCCATCAAACATACTGTACGCCATGAAGAGTGGTACGGACATATGTAGACTAGCACCATACACACACAAGACAGCTTGAAATACACACTTAATCCACTGGCACATATATAATATTTAACAAGAGGCTTATGAAAGACATTTCTCTGATTACCTTCAGCATCTGTGGCAGGTTTCTTGAGGTCCTCTGAGCTGCAGAAAGGAGGAAAAACAGATCTGATATTGTCTCTACCTGCAGAGGGACATGTCATCATGCTTCACCACCACCACTACTCCTCCAGCGATGCATTTACAGGTTATAAAAAAACAAATAGGACAAATTGTAAAGCCAGGTAAGTTTTACTCCACCCTCCCCATGCAGAAGTGTAGAAAGGGGACGAGCCATGCTGAAGGCGTGCTTTTGACAGGAACTGACCCCACCGACATAAACACACAACTCAGACTCATTATAAACAAATGTGGGTGTCTGGAACAGTTCCATTAAAAACTTACTCTGTGCCTTGAAGGCTGTCACCTGCGACCCCACCTCCAGCCTCAGCCGAACCCGCTGATTCTGAATTTTTCTTCCGCCTCGAGTTGGAAACTTTCCTCCGCTTGGTCGCACCGGTGTCCGGGCTCGGTTCGTCTTCGTCGTCGTCGCTGCTCTTGGTGTCCTTCAGCCAGGCCGGTACTGCCCTGGTTGACCTGTCTCTTAAAACCCGTCCCGAGCTCTGCGGGCTCGACGCTGCTCCGTTAACGTCCGTTACTGAAGCGGAGACACCGGACCTCGGGCGGCCCGCTCCCCTGTCTCGGAGCCCTCTTCGCGGGGTAACGGTCGTACTGGTGGCCGGGGTCTGCTCTGCGGCCTTGTCCTCCCCCGGCTCCTCGCCTTTATTTACACCCCCGGTTCGGTCGCCGGCCGGTTCCATCACCGTGAGGATACTTCAGCCTACCTCAAAATCCGCTTAAAGTCAAGCAGGTTTACCGGCAATTTCAGGAAAAAACGGACCACATCTGGTTAAAAGACGTTTAGATTACAAGCGGCCTTTATCCGACAGTGGGGCATTTTCTATGATTGCGTCGCAAATTAAATGCATATATTTATTGATTAGGGATTGAAAACTTTTCTTAATTATCTATTCAGCAATAAACCGATATCATTTTAAAGAAGCAGACACTATTTTCGCGTTCTTAAAGCTATAGTAAACCTACTTATTCGCTGGGCCTGGAGCGCAACCATTTTGTGCGCTTTGTTGCGTCTCCTTTAAGCCAAATATAAACCGAGGTTACGTTCAGGAGCGGCAACGCATTTTAGCAGCTGCAAAAACCAGCTGGATGTCGCTCTTTTCCTTTGGCAGATGGAAGTCGGTTTTAGCTGCGTTGTTTATAAATCTGCGAAAGACGGCAGCAAGCCGTGCAAAGGCACAGCGCACACGACAGCTGTCGAGGCATCATGGGAATTGTAGTGTTAGAGCAACATAGCTTGAACTTTAATTGGTTTAAAGGTTATTTCTATCTTTTTTTTTTTGTCGTGTTTTTATCTATTAAGGTTTAAAAAAAAATATTGTGCATGAAAGTAGCAATGGGATTTAATTTATGTACCAACAAACACCAATAAATAATACAATAGTAATGTAATTATGTGAAAATGTTCCTTTCATGCAGAATACTTTGCCTGCCACACACATAAACACAAATAAAACTGAATAAAATTACTTTTATTTTTATTTTTATTTCCTAGAATTCAGCATTTTTGTGTTCTGTGTAAAATAATATAATAAATGACAGCATTTTACTCAACTGTCAGACTGTACGGGAAGATCTTCTTGCATGTGTTGAATTCATATTTCAACCTCAAGAAAAACTAAATGTGATTTGTTTCCTACAATATTATGTATTGATGACTGTGGAGCTAACATGGCTGCCAGTGAAAACCTGCACTGTCTGGTCTCAGCTGTACAGCTCTGCTGCAGGCTGCTCTGATGGGGTGCATTTACCACCAGATGGCAATACTGTCTTAACTAACTCGTCTAGACAGCATAAAGGCTCTATAACTTGGTTTAACATCCTTCGGTCACTGTGATTAAGAAGGTGTAGTGTTGATGCCTCTATTGAGACTTATGTTGGAAATGATATTCATGGGGAATAAACTCACTCTTACTCTTATCTGTCTGTAAAGTTTTTATCAAACATAGCCTGATTCCACACAGCTGTGTGGATACAAAAACAACCATGTGGGATCATAGCTGAGGGGAAAACACACAAAATTAGGTTTTAATCTGATACCTTTATTGTTAAAAGAAGATAATGTGATATCATGTAGGTGATAACCCTGTGCAATAATTTATGAGGTAAATGGACCACTGCTTCTGAATACATTTTAATTACCACTGAGTAATTAGCATTTCTATTCTCTGATGATTAGTTAATCACATGCATCTTAAAATAAGACATGACATGAATGGTTAACATTTATTGTGTTAATTCTATGAACTATAACATGATCACGGTATTTACCGTGCTGATGCTACTGTTAAAAATAAGACTAAATCAGTGGAAATTACTTCAATAGGAAAAGTGGCAGCTTCATAATTTCCCCCCAAAAATGTAGCAATAGCCTAATAATAATAACATGATAATTATGTTTTGTATTATAATCAGAATCTGAAAGAGAACTAGTAACTAAAGCTGTTAAATCAATGTAGTTACTAAAAAGTACAAGTATAAAGTAGCATAAAATGGAAATACTCAAGTAAAGTACACACCAGTGGACTTATTGATAGTATCAATGCTGTAGCTATCACTAGTTGAGCAGGTTGTTTTTTCTGTAACCTGTTACCACATTTTAATAGTAAACCTGTTGGCTGACAGGTGGGGACACCGTATGAAAACTCCATGTACCTGTGATCGCTCTCATGCACATATTGTCCCGTACGATGAAGGCTACTTATGTTCTTAAAATCCCCCCTGAGCTCCTCGCTGGGGAACAACATGTTTCTGGAGTAAAGTTGACTCGCCACAGAGAAGTTTATGAAACATTTTCACATTGCTTAATAGTAGCTGATGTCCGAGGTCAGAGATGGGTTTTCATTCACAGAGGTCAGAGTCAAAGTCCGCTGCCCCTGGACCTTTCAAGAAACGTTTGACCATTGTGATTTAATCTTAAACTAAGACATGGTTTAGACTGTGTCGGTGTGAACAAGGTGGAATACGTAGACAAACAAAATGAATGACAGCATTGCATCCTTTTGAAAATGCTTTATTTATCTACTTTATCACTATAAATATAACAATACCGAACAAGCTTTTTTTTTTTAAACAAACCTTTAGATAGAAAACAGTCTGCATAGGTCTACAAAGGTATAGCAAAGGGCACATCTTGGCAATAAGGCACACACTAGGAAGAGTTTAAATGGTAACACCTATGTTAAACTAGGCAAATATAGCTCTACACCACTCACACAGCGAACAGCAGGAGTTCATCCTACTGCTGTATCGTGGGTGAAATGTAGGGAGGGAGAAAGAAAAGCCGGTGCTCTGAGTGGAAGGCAGAAAGTCCCATCTAACACGTGACATTTGGATAGCTGTTAAATAATGATTAGACCTTTTAACAGATTAGCCAAAACTTACATGCAGGAGTTGCAACACCAGCAGCTCAAAGTGCCAATGGGTCGTCACACATACAATGGACCAGTTTTAGTCTTTGCTGTTGAAGCTGATAAAAATGTAGTTGAACGACAAGGCCTTTGTGCTCCCACTCATAACACCAAATCCAGTTTAAAATAGAAAACAAAATATTACACACAACAGAAACACAATAACCTTGAATTTTTTAAAAACTATTGGACACTTTGGCAAAAAAAGTTTTTCTACTTTTGTTACTCTGACTTCTTATCCCTAAACAAGGTGTAAATAAAGAAAAGAAATATGTTTTAGAATATATTATACCTTTTCTTACTTCATACACAACACATGTAATGCATATATTAAATATATCCTGACTTATTGTCATCATACAAGAAAATAATAAAAGCAGTTATCAGCAGTTTGTTTGTTTTTACGTCAAATCCAGTTTGAGAGGGGAGAGAAGTAGCAAAATGAAGTGAGATGAGACTTAAACAAATATATCTTGTCTGCTTCTTTGATATCTTTTCATTTAACTCATGATCTCATAACAATCTCAGAATCCAGGCTGGTCAAACTCATCATGCTGTTTTATGAGTAAACTGCAGTAAAAAGAAAAATATCTGAGAATACACAGAGAATTAAAAATAAAATTGGAAAATTCAAAAGTACTGGAACTGGTTTACAAATACAAGTCAGCATACAAATGTTTTGCATGCTCTTATACAAGGTAAAGATGGCTGTTGTGGAGTGTAACTTCATGATCAGCAGCTTCTTGCATCTGTTATGTCTGTGTGTTGTGGTACATAGATACATGCGTGGCTACTTGTATATTTCAGCACGAGGTATTGCTCCAGTTATTCCTAGTCCAATATTACACTTGTTTTCAACACACTGCAGAGTTTAAAAAGTGCCTACTAAACATTCATCAGGGTTATTTTAATGTTTAATGCTTTATCCGCAAGGAAAAACTTGCAAAAACAGACATTGAATAAAACGCCAAACTAGCCAAGTTCAGACATGAATTCATACTCAGTATTTAATATCTCTTCATCTGAAAGTCGCAATCTCTTGCCTTTTATAAATATGTTTTAAGTGCACCTCGGTCAAGCACAGTTTTGAGGACGAGAAATAAAGAGGAGACAGAAATACGGAGTGTTACTGCAGGAGCATTCAGAAAAGAGACTACAGGAGAGAGGTAGCCTTGTCACATCTGACTGCAGAGACTGAAACCTTCAGTTTTCATGTGAGTCTTTCCTCTTTGTGCCAACCACAGGGTCTTGGCTTTGTTGTGAAAGGCACAGTGAAAAGCATAGGGTAGCACATACAGTATGCAGATTTAAGGCACTGTATTCAGGCTCAATCTATCTACTATCATGAGACTAAAGTTTTTAAGTTTTTTTGGTTAGCATTGGCAAATGTAAGATCTTTTTTAGTGACAGAGTATTCCAGTCCATATAGAAAAAAATTCTCTCATTTCTGTCCACATTTGTTCACCTTTCAAAAAATTCAAACAATAAAAATAAAAACAGTAATGCATAAATGAGAAAACAAAGCAACTAACATCTGTTCAGTCTTAATCCCCTGTCAGCGCAGTTTCTGAGGATGGGGAACATCTCCAAGTACATCTGTCAGGCTTTTAGATAAACTATATTGCCCATAATTTTCCAGTTTTCTTTCTCTAGTATATGTTCCCCAAGGAATCTGTCGCAACAATATTATTTAGCTGGCAACATTTCTTCAAACCAAGATTTATGTTTCCAAACGTGAAAGAGGAAAAAACAAACTAATTATAGGCAAATGAACACAACACTTAAAACCTTCATTTAAAACACAAATAAAACTTAATAAACCAAAAAGTACCAAACAAGCATGTTTGAAGCATGCACATTCAACCAGCATGGACGGACAGCATCACCTACAGCATTTAGAATTGGCTAGAATACTATATATTAATGGAAAAATACTAATAAAAAAAACAACCCAAAAACATTAGTATATCCAACAGTTGTCTTCAGTGGTATCATCTCTTCTCAGTAGTTCCTGTTGTACTTTTACTTTCTTTCAATCAACTTTTCTTTCTTTGTGTTAAGACATGGTGTAAAGTTTTATCCTTCCTGCTCCAGAGAACAAATACCAGTAATGAGAGAAACCTACAGAGAATAAAACCTTAAATATGCGTCTTCTCTTCATAAATACTTGAATGTACCTTCAGTGTTTATGTTGCCATGGCAACACGGTGGTCAGGGGTCAGAGAGAGAGAGAGAGAGAGAGAGAGAGAGAAGGTGGGAGTTGTGACTGTTGTTATTGTGAGCAATGCTTGTTGTTGGGGGGTGATGTGTGTGTCACCACATTCAGGTAGGTTTCCTCAGTAAGTTGACTGTCCTCTGTGTGTGTTATAATTGACAGTGATGCTGCATAATTAAGCCTGTCATGTGGTTGCTTTGGGTCCAGGATATACTGAGGCCATAAGTGGGACAGATATGAGATGTCAAGATGTCATTGTTTCACTGTCTGTTTTCTAAATATATGCTTCAAACGACATTCCTTTAGAGCTTTTGGATGTTCACAAGTTCAAGTGACGCCTCTGTATGATGGGACAGGCTGTGCGCGCTGCGGTGGTCGTTCAGTCAGAGGCAGGGTAACTTTGTTGTTGTTTCACGTGACCCTCAGAATCAATATGTCTGGTAGACATCGTGGATGGGCAACTGGAAGGCTGTGGCAGGGAATGCCTGTGGCACAGCGTAGCCTGTGTATCCCCCATATGCTGCAGCCGCCACCGCTGCATTCTTCTGCAGAGCAGCCAGAGCTGCTGTGTTGGCAGCGTAGTTTGTGATGGGGACGTATCCAGCTCCATACAGGCCCCCAGCTGTTGGGATACGCTGTACGTTGTGGGCCATGGCATAGACAGGAGTGATTGGACGGCCCTGGGAAATGCAAGAAAAGGAGAAAGAGGAAGATAGCAAGTAGGACAATTTGTAAAGCACGTCCTCAATGACCAGCTCAGTGTACATTCACTATACATTCATTGAATGAATGCTTTCAATTGTGTGTTGTTCTTCCAGAGTATAAATAAGTAAATATGTTTCATATTATATAAAAATTGTAGACTAATAAATCAGGCAGGAAAGATTTTTGTTACATTAAACTTAATAATATTCCACAGGAACTAACTAAAACTAAAACAACAGTGAGATGGACATTTTACATCTTTATTAGCATGCATCAAATTTAAACAACAGTGTCACTATGCACACCTGAAAAGGTGGAGGAGTAGAGACCGCAGGTAGGACGGTGGCAGCACCAGCATTAGCGTTGGTGTGTTCAGGGTGTTGCATGGCCAGAGGGTTGATAAGGTGCTCCACCGTGTGCATCTTCCCCTCCTCCATCAGCTTGGCTGCAGGACCCGTGCTGAATACTGGGTACTGCCCACCCAGAGTCTGCAATGCCACTGCACATAAAGAGATACGAGAATGAGAGCTTGGATAATAGAGTGAACCACTGCAGACAACAGAGTATTGCAAGAGATGGTTAATATGTTTGCATTCAAAATAAAAGAAAGAGACAAGCACAGACATGCACCCATGCTCAAACAGAAACAGGCATACTTATATCTAATCTAGTGAAGGAGTGGTGGATGCTAAAGCAATGACGGATAAAGACAGAAAAAGGCTGAAGGAAACAATTTAAGCAAGAAGGGAAAAATAATATATTACACAAGTTGGCGTTAGGGTGTGATTCGGATTATGATAGCGCTCAACTGTGGATTAACCTCAATGCTCCAACACATACACACAAACATACACACACACACACACAGCGAACACAACGTCAGTCATTGTTTCAGATGGACAAAAGTCTTTTTAATCTGGTGGTGATCCTGTGATTTCAAACAGACCAGGACTAAGACCAGGACCCCCAAGATTGGGGTCAAATCGTTCCAGAAGGAGCATCAAGAAAGTCCACTTATCAAAATGGACCTGTGGTCACCAAATATATGGAATTAATAATAATAACAAAGAGTTCAATATTACATTTATGATGAAAAAAACAAACAATCGGGTAGGTTTAGTAACTTTTGTGTTTAGTAATAAACTTGAAAATGAAAGAATAATACCAGTGTGTTCACTTTTGTTTTGCATTTCTATGACTGAAGTTTCTACATTTTATTTATGCTATAAAAACGTATTTAAAAGTTTGAATTTAGATGATCCACTGTTATAAACATGAGACCTTTCTTTCTGTTATAGTTTCATGTTTTGTTATGTCCTCAGGTGAGCTAGGCTTTTTCCCCTCATTCGTATCAGTAAGATTGCATTTCTTTCTGCTTACAGCTCAGGAAACAATGAAGACAGAAAGATGGATGGATCTCCCACCAGGAAATAATCCTTTAAAAACAAGCCACCTAACATCTTTACCATCATTCGTCTTTGTAGGGATAGCAGTTCATTTAGGGATATATTTTACACTGTATACTTGATATTTACAAATCAAAACAAAAGAGTGAAAATATAAAAAAATCAAAAGAAATTATAGAGAGCATACATTGTAAACTCATGATGATTGTGATCATGTAGACTATATGTATACAGCAGTAAATGGGCCATAACCTTACACAACACTGGTATTATCCTTAAAGTGATTAGAATAGAGCGGATACGATAGAAAAGAGTAGATAAATAATCTTTTGTTTTGTGTGTGTTGGTGCGTTTAGTTTTGCATTTCAACTCCAATCTTGACTGAAACTGTTGTAACACTAACAAAGTTAAAGCACGAAGAGAAAAAAAACAACTTCTTTTTGTAATTTCAAAAATATAATTCTTTTTTGAAATACATATTTGTTTTTCATCCATAATGATTCAGTCCCAAGGCAAGACAATGTCAACCACCTTTCAGTCAAAAAATTGGAGTTGAGTGCATGTGTAAAAGCAGATTGTAGATGCACTGGTCCCCACATCACTATGGCCATGTTCAGACAGACAACAGCACTATGTTTAACGAAACCATCGCAGTAGGGCGTCAAAAACACGTAATCTAACACTTTTTGTGTTGGCCAATCAAATAAGTTCCAGATAGATTAACCCCTTGTGTTCTTTTAACACAGCGCTGTTTTTGGTATGAACACCCGGTAAGACAAATTTGTGATTAAGGAGGGAAAAGGGAATAATGAGGAACAAGACATAGCAGTTACTTTCTGGTCTGGCTAGAAAGGACAGATATGTCCATTATTCTTTAGTGTAAAGAGAAAGAAAGTCCTTTTGCACCTGACCATCCAGCAACAACCTTCTTGATTTATAAAAAGTTCCTCAAACCACACAGGAGAGAGAGACAGGAAATTACGAGCTGGAAGGTTTGATAAAGGTTTTTGAGATGGGCAAGGATACGAATGGATATATCTATCTCACTGACTTGTGCCAGGTTTGATGCCAACGGGGTTGACAGAGGCAGCGAGCTCCAGACTGGGCATCAGCTCATAGGGCTTTTCGGTCTGCTTGGTCTTGCCTTCATGGTAGCGGCTGTAGATGCCACGACCGGCAGAGTAACCCCCCAGGTACGACCCCCGTGGTCCAGGGGTACGGTTACTTGCAGCAGCACGACCACGACCTCGCACAGTACCTGCTTAAAATACAATTAAAGTAATATGATGACAGGGGTTGTGGCGCAACTTGTACTAAAAGTTGTGTGGGGCAACACGTGAGGCAAGATTTTATGGTGGGTTTAGAACTTCTTTGAAAGGTCCTCTGAATATATCAGGACTGGGGTAGCAAGAAGAGTCATTAAGCTCTAATTTGAGGCAAAAATTTGCCCATGAAGTGCAGTCGCTACACTGGAAATTTCTCAGCTGTTTCAGTACAGGTTTTAGATTTGGAGTTATTTGGGTCCAGTTTGGCCTTTTCCTGTTCTGACTCTTGCTAGTTCTTGGCGCTGTGAAACTGTATTCCGAAACGTTCTCAGCTTTATTGTGATCAATGCAATAACCCAGCATGAAATGGGAGGTGACAGCGCAGCAGGAAAAGGATGGTGTTAGAAAACATATAGTTTGTCACATGGCAAGAAAGCTCATTGTTCATTAAAGGAATAAGTAGGAATAAGGATGTGAGAGATTACCATTGTTCTGTATCATTGGGGATCCTTTGGAGAGAAAACCAAAACACAATGATTGTTGAAAGTCAAATAGATTTTCCTCCTACCACCCAAAGACCATATATAATCAATCATGAAAGGTGGGATTAGCATTCATTGGTCCATCACCTTGTTTTGTTTTTGGCTTTTAACAAGTCTCTGATTTTAAGCCACAAACCCTCATCAAGTTAAAGATTTTAAAACTTTTGTCATACAAATTGCATTGTCATCAAAGATTAAATTGATATTATCTTAGTCATTATGACCATTAAGAATCATATTGATGGGGTGTCTGTCATTGTTTCTACAATAGCATCTTTTGGATGTTATGAGATCTTTATCAGTGCATTGGCCCAGACTTTCTATTGCAACTAACATTTACAAAAACAGAGAAACACTGTGGCTTTTGCAACTGATCATTACTGGCACAAAATCAGAAAGAATTAATTCTAACCTTTGACAAAGTAGTCCCTGTTGGGTCCAATAAGGGTGTTGTAGGGATAACCATAGTAGGCCAATGTGTAGGGATCACACTGGTAAACGTAGTTCTGTGGAGCAGCCTCTGGAGTGGCGGAAGCCCCCTTGGAGGCCTTCTGGCGCGAGTACTGCTCTTTGTCAACTGGCTTGGCGAGTGTCACCTCAATGCATGACCCTTCCACCTCTGTGCCGTTGAGGTGGTCCATGGCCAGGACGGCATCGTCCCGGGAGTTAAAGTGGACGAAGGCGTAGTCCCGGATTTTCTTCACACGTTCAACACATCCAGGATTCCACTGGCTGAACACCTGGTTGGCAGAGAAAACAGGTGATCGGTTAAGAATAGTAGGCTATAGTATTTCTTCCTGCCAGTTATGTTTTTACCCAATAAAGAATGCACTGAACAGTAAGCCAATCCTACCTGTCTGATTGTCTCCTCGCTGGTCTCCATCATAAGGTTCCTGACGTAGAGGATCTTCACTGTCTCCATGACGTCTTCGTCCACATCAATCTCCGGCTCAGCCCAGTCCACTGCAATCTGGTGGCCCCAAAGTTGAATGCGTCCAGGCATCAACTTCCTGCGAGCCATGGCGGCTGCACGGTGCGACTCATACTCTACAAAGGCAAAGCCTCGGTTCTTCATCTTGTCTGCAGCACTGGCATAAACTATCACATCTAGTACCCCTTCTGTCACCTTGGAGACCTCCTCCAGGATCTCCTCGCGCTTTTTGGTCTTGGGGATGCCACCAATGAAAAGACGGCAGTTGTCCACAGAGGAGCAGACCCCCAGCAGCCGGCCGGGCCGCACCTCATAGTTGTTGAGCTCACGTACAGCCCGCTTGGCCTCATGTTTCTCTGTGTACATCACAAATGCATACCCTCGGTTTTTCCCATCAAAGTCCATCATCAGTCGCATCTCGTAGATGCGTCCTACGGACTCAAACACTGGGACCAGCTCATCCTCATAAACGTCCCGTGGAATCTTGCCCACAAATATTTCACATCCTCGTGGTGGAGATGCACCATTCCATCCAGGAGGAGGGCCGTATTTACGCTGACCGTTTTCCTGGACCATGCTGTAGCCAGTGCGCTCCATTAGGGCCACCAGTGCAGCCTCATTGGGAGCACCTGCAACTCCCTCAGGGATGTTGATCTGTCCGTGAAGAGGGTGGTGGGAGGCACCAGAAGGTTTGGAGGGGGCAGTGTTATTGCTCATGGTTGAGGAGGAAGCAGGATCTTCGGCTGTCATTCTGACAAAACCATCCAATCAGATCTGGGGCCTGAGGAGGGAAAAAAGAGAACGTTTTATCAAATTACATTCAATTGTATGAACCGCGATTGCTATCCAAGAGAGAACAGGAAACACAAGAAGAAAAATAAGAAGGGTAATTCACTCAAGCTGCCATTTAAAACAGGCCTGTACCAACAAAAACCCCAAATATGGCTGCTTGTTGAAACAAAATGACCGTCAACTTACAGGAACAATGACATGCAAGATTACCTAACAAACTAACTGAGGCACATAATGTGACCTGGACAGAATAGTGAAAATATACCATCTATAAATCCCCAGGGCACCATCCCCTATCAGTGGTTTTACAACCTTGTTTTGTTGAGTTCTTCAGATCCCTTGCTGACCTCTGACCCCTATCAGAGAGAATGAAGGGCTGTAAACCCTGAAACCTCCAGCTCAAGGTTCACTGAGTACACAAGCTAGGTCACATGCTCATTATGTGTGTCAGAAGTAAGTTAGACAAGTTGAAGTTAAGCTATATGAAGAATTTTGTGTAAAATATGACCCTGCTGATTCCCTACTGTGACAAAAAAGTTGTGCACATTAATATGTTTTATATGAACTTGTTGCACGCACACACTCCCCACAAGAGGGTGTTGGACTTTTAACCTCTTTATCATAAGTGTTATACAGTCTGGGTGCAGCTTTTTCTGTGTGTGTGTGGGTGTTTCTGTGTGAGCCACTTCATTAAGAGCTGCAGCCCTATAAAAGGAACAGAGAACAATCAAAAATCGGCTTCCCAAGCATAAACCTCTTACTCTGTTATTTTCCAACACTGCCAGCATTCACAACGGAAAAATCCACAGCATTTTAAATCCCCCAAATCTCCACGCTGCGTATAACACTGAGGCAACCAATCACAGAAGACTACAAAGCAAACTACTTTTTGTCAGACTAAACGTCATGAAAGCAAATAGGCCAAATAAAAAAACAAACTTGTGCTAGTTAGGCAGGTGCTTTTGTGCGTCACAAGATTGCCTGGACTTTGATGGAAATAGCTGAGGCAGTCAACAAAGGTAAAACACAACTAAGCCAAGCAACCATGGTAACGCACACACTCATTTGACATGACCCAATATACCCACTCTCCCACATACACGCGCGCACACACACACATACACCTGTTCACTTGTTAGCTCGTCCAAGGCTGGAGGGCTTAGAATTACCTGAAAACTAGCTCACACCCTGTTCACAGAGGAGCGAAAATGATGCAAATGTCGGTTTGATATAATAAAAAAAGAGGGGCTTTAAATATCATACACATATAAACAATCAAACATTCATTATGTTTACGGAAGACAGGGACAAAGAGAAAAATAAAACAGCAAGAGTGGGGAAAGACAGGATGTTGTTTCCTGCTTCTATCTTTAGACAGTTGTTGGTTGCTGACACAGGTCAAACTGACATTGGATCACATAAAAACATCTATTTTGACAGAGTTATGCGGACATCTACGTCTACAGTTCTGATTCTGCTCAGTGAGGATGCAGTTCCCTTTATTGCACAAAAAAAAAACATCACACAAGATTTTCCAAGTAGCCTGCTACATTAAAACAGCCTTTTTGTTACCTATTTCTGTGTTGCTTTCTCTCTGCTTCCAGAGCTCGACGTGCCCTCCCTCTGTTCCTTCTATTGTGTGAAGTGCTAACATGACTCCATCTCTTATCAGCCTTATCTTGCCAGACTGATGACAAAGGGAGGACAATATTCACTTTGGGAGTTCTGCTCGGTGATAAAAAGAAGCTATATGAAACTGTGAGGTCGACACAACATGAAGTCAGTTTAGTTACTTTTAAAAGTACCTCCCTTGACTGGATATTCTGTGTGTGTCAAAATTATGATATACTCAGTGTTCAGTCTCCGCGTGGGGTGACCCACTTCCTGCTTTTGACCATTTGGAGATATTCCTAACTTCCTCACTCCTGATCACTGCTGTGCTGAGGTTTTCCTTCACAGCACTCAGTGTGTCAAAAGTGAAGCGAAAATCAGATGGTCTGTTATAATCTCTCTTCCTTTGCACAATTGAAAAAAAAATGAGAATAGTGAGTGTGTATGTGGGATCTTTTGGCATCCGAGTGTATCTGAGGAAGAGTGTGTTACCAGAAAAATACAGCTAACAAGAGGCAACACAAGAAGTGAGGAAGTACAAAAACAAAAATTGGTTGAAAATCTGCACCCTTCAGAAAGCGCTGACCTTATACATGGCATATGCAATAATTTGATACTGTTGTTTTGTGAGAAAAGAAGGAGGAGAGAGAGAGAGAGAGTGCAAGGAAACTGAGGCAGCAACAGGTAGATGATTAACCCTGACAAACACAAATCACAGCCTTTACTCACAGAGGGCATAAAGGTTTATAGGAGATGCCTCGGTTATAAAAAAAAACTAGAATTTTAGAAACCAAAGTTATGACAATTTATGTGTGTTTTTGGAACTGCTAGCAGATAGTAGTTAAAACATAATCTACACAGACATCCAGAGCTCAGACACAGAGTTCAACAGGTTCAAAGGTTACAGTAGCACAGGAGGAAAGAGCTGGCTGGCCTGCACACTGCAAAGAAAGTTAAAGAGCAAGGATTTTATTGGCTAACACACTGGCAAACCTGCTGGGTTAAAATGTCCCAGTTATAGCTGTGGAGATTACCCATTACACTGTGTTTATGATTGATAGAAGCACCTGATTCTCTACGTATTAACAGCATGTTATTGGGGACAGAATTGTTTTACGAGCAGAGAAAAAGGCTTTTACGGGCTTCCTCTGGATTATACCATAAACACAGATTGACTACTGCGGGCAAATTCCATCTTTTTCTTCAAATAAACAAATGAGGCATGTCATTATTAAAGCATAGTTCCTCACAGCTAGAAAGAGGAAGAACATTTCATTCGTCATGTCACTGACATGTGTTCTTATCAGTAGCATTTTGCTGATCTTATTCAGTTTGCAGGCCAACAAACCTCTCTTTGGCTCCCAATTTATTGCAGATTATGGAGCAAAGAAAACCCAAGTGTGTGTTCAACAATAAGGAACAATGCGTCTCTTAGTTTCTGTTCTATCCTGAGTGACACTGATCCAGCGTACTGAAGAAAACAGGCCTAAGGATGCCGCCATCTTAGCTGTACGGTCCACACACGGACACGTGTAGGCAATTGACTCATGGCGTCTACCCAGCAGCCCCTAAATAACCAGGGTCACAAGAAAGCAGAAGAGGATCAATGAAACACCAACACTTACAAACACACACCCGATAGATAACATTGCATTTGCTGACTCATGCAAATGCCATTCAACCCTGCCCTCACATTTGAGACAAATTCTGCAAAAGAACTGCTAGATAATAAACAAAATCAAAAACCTGTCATTCAAGGTTTTATAAAAACCAAACACAGCCTGAGAGAGAGAGAGAGAGGGAAGTGAGACTGAATCAAAGCAGACATCTTGAGAAGGATTTCACAGCAGATGGGATGTTGGTGGAAAAGAGAAGAGGAAGGAGAAGCAGAGAGTGGTCAGTTGGGAGGATAGCTACCCCTGTTGCTTCACAGCGCTCCGCTGCTGGGCTGCCTTCTCTGGGAGTGTTAGTCCACCTCCATGAGAGACAGGTACAGCAGGGCACTGAGCACAGAGGCCAGCCTCCTCTAAACACACACACACACACACACACCGAGCCAAAGCTGCAAGCATGAGAGCTGGTGAGGGTGGAGCTAAAACAGGTACTTTGTGTGACTGTGTGACTGTGTGTGTGTGTGTGTGTGTGTGTGTGGGCGGATCCCTCGGACACAAGAATTTTAGTAGGAAGTGTGAAATACACAAACATACATATCAATACTGGTGGCGGAACGTAATTAATTACATTTACTCAAGGACTTTAATAAAGTACACTTGTACTTACTTGATTATTTCCACTTATGCTACTTTATGTTTAATATTTTAGGAAATATTGTACTTTTTAGTCCATTAACTTATCTGATATCTGTGGTTACTAGTTGCTTTTTTAATTCTTACCTTTTAGAAAGATTAAACCAGTGTTGACCCAACCTTTTTGGCTTGTGACTAAACAAAGCAGCGCGTAGTTGAGGCTCATTGTCACATTTCAGATGAGTTGTTAACAGTTCTGCTCAAGAGAGATTTCCCCTCTGAACTTCTCAGATGGTTTCATTTCCAAAAAATGTTTGAGCCCAAAGAGGTTAAACTCCTCCTAATATTTCACAAGAAAAGCAAAGATTAGAGAAAAGTCTCTGGATTCATGTTGCAGAATTTAGTTTTTTCTTCCCAATAATTATCTCACAACCCCTCAAATGTATCTGGTGACCCTTTGGTGATTGGAGGCCACTGGACTAAAATACCGAACTGTATATAAAATAGTTAAAACTAGCTCTGTCTCAACCAGCTACCACAGTAAAATGTTTAAATATGCTAATACATATTAATAATAATGTCAGTCAAGTGTGCCATTTTTTCTCTGCATGATGAGTACTTTTGATATTTTAAGTACATTTTGTTGGTGATAAAGACTGGTTGATGTTAGTGGGACAAGAGGGGGCTCATGGGAAAAGTAGTTTTTATGGATGTCAAGGGTTTTCTGCTTAGTTGCAGAAATTGTGAAAAAAACGGCAGGAAACTGGGGTTTGAATACTTCCTCATGTTGTTGTCTTACTCTGACATTTGGAAATTCTGACTGGGAGTAACCATTTATGTCATGTCAGCACAAGACTACAACTGTGTGTAAGTGTGTCTGTGTGTGTGTGTGTATTCGGGCACGCGCCTGTGTTTTTTTGTACATAACAACGGTGAACATGTTCCTAGCACAGCTTAACTTAAGCAAACAACACACACCTTCCTGGGCAGTCAAGAGAGCAGATAGAGAGACAACTGAGAAGAAAAACAGCCAGATGAGAGAACGTCATACGCTTAGAAAGTTTCTGTCTAAAAACTCCCCTCAGTGCTCTCAAAAGAGCAAAGAAAAGAGGGAGTGAGGGATAGAGAGAGC